TCCAAGAGGAGGATAATATACCTAACTGTATCATAAGGGTGTTGCAGAGAAATCTTTCCTCAAAGGTAGAGAGGCTGAGCAAAACAAGATAAAATACTCTCTTCTGAGATGCTAAAACCAATTATCTTTTCTGTCTTCTGTACGTGTCTGTAGTTTGTAATGTGATCTGTGAGGCGATTTACTATCACCCTTTGTTGTAGGGTAGCCGGTGTATAGTGATGAATGTATTACATACATGGTTAATGAAGAAGTTGGATTCTTTTCTATATACACAGATTCTGTCTTTTATCAAGAAGTGTGTTGAAAGTTACTGAGTATGGAGGGTATAAAATCAATAGCATTAATTTTGCTTTTAGCATGTTTGAGTATAGAAATTACATCTTTAGGTTTTTGTTCTTTCTTGCTGTTTTTGCTGCCACCCCCATCAAGATGCTCGGTCGCATTTTTTTGATATGCATTTATATTGCTTACCTTTTTGCCACCAGTACTCTCATGTTCTTCCATCATATTAAAGCTTGAAGTTAAATCCAAAAAGTATGGATTTCTAGCCAGGAACATCTGGAAAAGGATTATACATCAGACACTAACCTGGTTGCAGTCAAAGCAAAGTTTCATGCAGCAGTGTCTTGGGAACCAAGCACTGTGATACTCTAGAAGGGTCTAAGGCAAACTGTGGGTGCGAGTCAGGACAGGAGAGCCAGAGCTGTTTCAGAAACGGGCAGATCACAGCCTGTGAAGATGACTATTGTTTTCTGATGCTGAAGCTGAACTTCCAAAAAGTCTGTCTGAGCGCAGGACCATGCCTTCAGAAGCAGTGCCTTCTACCAAGAAGTGGAAAGGCAAGCAGTCCTGTTAACGTGCTGGTGTTTGGAGTAGAGCTGACAACGTTGCTTGGAGTGGTTTCAAGGGAGGGACGCCACTGCCCTGAGCCTTAAAGCACTGTGCTAAAGGAGGTATCTTCTGAAGGCTGAAAGCTGCAAGTCAGTGGTTGTCACCCTCTGCTGTTTGAAAGCCTTAATGGTCTATAATTAACTGTGCTCCCTGCCATATTGAAATCCAAAACATGAGCTTCTCCCGGTGCAGCAGGAACTAAAAGAATCCCCCCAAATCTGCTGGTCTTACCTTTTCACTTTTCTTTGCTAACTATGCACATTACTTCAATAAATCGAAGATCCTGTAGACTGCAGCAACCCCTTCTGTTTCTCTCCTCATTCTGCTTACCAAGATGTATGAACGTACACCTGGCTTTAAGCTGCAGGGAAGTTAAAGTGGTTAAGAACCTGACTGTGGAGCTGATGCGGAGACAGTAACTGGCCAGCTTTCCTCTGTCAGAGAGTAGGTTCCTCCTGGACTCAAAGTTCCTGGGGGGTCAGGGGGGTGGGGGGGGGGCTGCCTGCTTTTGTTCAGTTGCACTGCTGTGGAATATTTTTTCGTGACAGTGTCTTCTGCTCTTTTGGAAGATCAGAAAGAGTAATAACCTGTGGGTAAAATGAAATGATTAGAAGAGAGTCACTGTTCAATAACCTGAAGATGACAATTGGTGGAATATGTTCTTTGTATTTCAGATTTTTATTCTGGACTGTGTTAACTTTCTGTTTAAGTGCCTGGAGATAATAGCTAAGCTCTTCTGAGAGTATGAGGAACATGTAATTAGGGAAAATGTTTCCATTCCAGAGGCTGTTAATTATTAGAGGGTTCTGTGTAAGTGCGTGCTCCAATTCATTGCACAGTAAAAGCTTTCATAGTTTGCTTAAAATCACCGCAGGGGGGAGGAACTGGAGAGGAGTATGAGATAAACAAAACAATCCTAAATTTGGAGTATTGCTCTTGCTCTAAGGGGTTGGGTGGATGAGTCAGTCTGAGTTGGTCTTCTGCTATAAGTTCTCTCGGAGGATTGAGGGCAAGCAGGATGAGGAAACTCTTCAGTAAAGATAACCATTTACTCATGTGGCCATTATAGTCAAAAGAAAGAAGTTGGGGGTCACGTACTGACCCTTTTTGCCATGAGTAGCCAGAAGTCTCCCCTAATCAAAATTAGGGAGAAAGGTAGCTGTGTGATGACTCCGTTGCCTTGCAAAGGATCATAAACATTATTCACCAGGGGATAAGAAGGGCTCAACTCCATCATTCCACTGTTTTGTCTGGAGAAGCATATGCACTTCTTTGAGTTAAATGCTTAAATTCATAAGTGAATGAATTGGACTCAGTCTCGCTGCTGTCACAGTTCAGGCATAATCTCTGTGTTCTCCAGGCAGAATGTCAGCTTGGCCTGGTCATCAGGAGACTGGAGTAGTGTGATGGGACACACAAGCTTGTTACCTCCTCTTTCACCCTTACCTCCCATTTAATTTCTCTTGGGTACAGCTGCTTGATAGAAACACTCCTGTTGTAACTACTTGCCAACAGGGGTCAAAGTCTATTGCTAAAGCAGAGACTGGGTTCATGGAATCTAAATTCTGTCCCAAGATCTGTTGTAGGTCTTGTGCACTATTGTGTGTAAATTCTTTAGTCTTTACTTTTTCTGAAGACAAAAATAATGTTTTTCCTCAGGGTGGTGTTATAGCAATACATCCTGCAAAGATATTAAGAGAAAGATATATTTACCCCTGCCGCTTCTGTAAGGAAGCAATCTGGGTAACTTTAGTTTGGATAAGAACAGCGTGTAATCCCCATTTGACCTTCTTGCTGGGGAATGCTTCTCTTTCAAGGTGCACCCAGTTCAGTCATCTAAATAAGTATTTCTTCTGCCTCTCGCCTCCTCCTTTTTCTGTTTAAACTTGTACTAGTTTGGAGCTGTGTTCACTCTGTCTTGTTAATGGCCCTTAGCCTGTTTCTCTTCCACCACGCTAACTGTGCTGAGAGCCTGCAGACCTAGCAGATGTATGTATTTTTGGTGTGTACTCAAGCAGCTGCGCTGGAGACAAGCAAATGTGGGGGCTCTAGTGAAATGCCCAGTCCCCCAAATATAGAATCCCGCCACAAAGACTGTAGGATTAAAGTAAGCCTGTTCACCTTGGCTCACTTCCTGCAGATGGTGTTGCAAGAAAAAAAGCAAATGGTTGTTAAATAGAATCTTCTAAATCATTCCCTCATTAATTCAGGTGCTTGCATGGCTAAGTGCTGAAATGCAGCCACCTACTATAGAGAATGTGCCAATTGCTTAAACTACCACTATAGGATATTTAGAAAAAGATACTCTATTCTATGCATATTGTGCCATTTATGGTGGAGATCATGATGTGTTAATTGCTCTCCAGTTCAATAAAGACAGCTTTTGCTGTGAGGAATTAATGGATGAAGGATGGGCACCCGATAGTAGTTTGTGTTCCCGGCCACCGTAGTTTTTCTGTCTAAATAGAAAGAAGCTATCCTTTTAAGTGGTCTAAAAAGGGTTTTTCCATTGCCTTTGATGTGCCTCAGTAATATCTGGTGTTTAATTGGAAGTAACCGTAGGAGTTTCTGCTTTTTTGACTAGGCCTGATCCATTTTAAATCTTGAAAATGCTAGATATTGAATATATTGCATCTCATGGATCACAGCTGAAAAACTGAAGGAGGGGAAGTTGAACCTGAACAGTGAGAACCTGAGCAGTTCCTTGAATAATCACTAATTTACCTGTTGCTTTGGTGAAGAAACATTTTTGAGCACTTGTATTGCAGTGGGGCTGTCAATATGCCTTTACAAATAACCCTCATAACTTCTAATGTTGCATAGACAATGTAATCATCAGGCAGTTTAAATGACGATAGGGGAGAATAGGGATTAAAACTGTTCAAGGGGATTTAAGTTGTCAGATAATCACTGGCAGGTGTCCTTTAGTAGTGACAGATGGCTTAGGTGTTGTCAGAGGCTTTACAGCAGAGCAAGAGAGAGCTTGTCTTATTCTTTGCTTCCCAAAGCCAGCCTGAATGTGCACTGGGATGCTTTTCTTCTGTTCTGGCATGGCACCTTTGCAGTAGTGCATAGGAAAGCAAATCAAGCTAAAGACTAGCATTTATGGGGATTTATGAGATACGCTTATAAACATGCAGCTGCAAACAACTTTTTGGGTCATAACAAAGGTCTTTAAGAGATGGAAAGTAAACTTAGCCCTCATTAGCTGGATGGCATGGCGTGTGGGAGGATACGGGCGGGTATCTAGAGAAGTTGTCACCTCCAGTGGCTTGGAACTTCACTCCCAGACAACTACAGAACTCTCATGAAGTGGTAGAATATTTGAAAGGAAGATGCTGTGGCTATTCCAGGGATGCACAACTTACTGCACTGTGCTGGTCCCTGGCCAGTATCTACCAAACGCTGCTTGATATTAGGCAGCACCCTCAGGGGGAAGAGAGGGAAAACAGAGCGACAGGCACCGTGGCTACCCCAACCCCGGTGACAGGCACTGCAGCTAAACCAGAGAACCAGCCTGTGCCAGTATCAGTCGCCCCTGTACGGAAGAAGAAACACACAAAGACATCGGTTCACTTAGTGAGAGATGAAAGTGAACCAGGGTCATCATGAGAACAGGAGGAAGAGGCAGAACCTGAAATAATCACCTGACCTCTATCCCTGAGTGAGTTGCACGACACGCAAAAAGATTTTGGCTGCCACCCAGGTGAGCACATTGTTACCTGGCTGCTCCGATGCTGGGATAATGGGGCCAGTAGTTTGGAATTAGAGGGTAAGGAGGCCAAGCAGTTGGGATCCCTATCTAGGGAAGGGGGCATTGACAAGGCGATTGGGAGAAAACCACAAGTCCTCAGCCTCTGGAGGCAACTTCTGCCAGGTAGGAGGAAAGATACCCCTTCAAGGATGAAGTTACATGTCACCAAGGCAAGTGGACCACCATGGAGAGAGGTATCCAGTACCTGAGGGAATTAGCCATGCTACAGGTGATTTATAATGATCCGGAAAATGAGCAGTCACCCACAGATCCAGATAAAGTCCAATGCACACAACCCATATGGCAGAAGTTTCTATGAAGTGCACCACCAACCTATGCCAACTCATTGTCAGTAATGTTCTGGAAAGAAGGCTGTGGACAAACGGTGGACGAACTGGCTGTCAAACTCCGGCAATACGAAGGAATTCTCTCTTCCTCCCTATGGGCCTATGTCTCGGCTGTAGAGGAATTGTCTCCGGAGTTCCAGCAATTCAAAGTGGATATGTCCTTCTCCCCACCTGTACAGGCCCCCATTGCAGCTATGAGGAGTAAGCATTCCTCTGCCCGAGAGAGGAGATAGAAAGTACACATGACAGGCTAACCTGTGGTTTTACCTGCGTGACCATGGAGAGGACATGAGGAAGTGGGATGGAGAACCTACCTCAGTCCTAGATGCACAGGTACGGGAATTGCGAGAAAAAGCAATCAGAAAAGAGGATTCCTCTTGGAAAAATCCGCTCCAGTTTCCCACGAGCAGTCCCCCAGACGGAGTAGAAGGGCTGATCTCATTTCTGATCCTCTTGAAGGGACTTCTGATTTACGTTTGTGAAAAGTGAGTAACGGATACTCTAACCAGGATTAGAGGGGCCCTGCCTGCAGCCAGGTGGAGGAAAGGGACAACCGGGTCTACCGGACGGTGTGGATTTGATGGCTTGGCACATCAGACCCACAGGAATACAAGGCTCTAGTGGACACTGGTGCACAATGTACCTGAATGCCATCAAGTTATAAAGGGGTAGAACCCATCTGTATCTCTGGTGTGACAGGGGGATCCCAAGAGCTAACCGCATTGGAAGCTGGAGTGAGTCTAACTGGGAATGAGTGGCATAAACACCCCATTGTGACTGGCCCAGAGGCCCCGTGCATCCTTGGCATAGACTGTCTCAGGAGGGGGTATTTCAAGGACCCAAAAGGGTACCGTTGGGCCTTTGGTATAGCTGCATTGGAGATGGAGGAAATTGAACAGCTGTCCGCCTTGCCCGGCCTCTCTGAGGACCCTTCGGTTGTGGGGTTGCTGAGGGTTGAAGAACAACAGGTGCCAATTGCTACCACGACAGTGCACCGACAGCAATATCGCACCAACTGAGACTCCCTGATCCCCATGCATAAGCTGATTTGCCGATTGGAGAGCCAAGGAGTGATCAGCAAGACTTGCTTACCCTTTAATAGTCCCATATGGCCCGTGCGGAAATCTAATGGGGATTGGAGACTAACAGTAGATTATCGTGGGCTGAATGAAGTCACGCCACCGCTGAGCGCTGCTGTGCCAGATATGTTAGAACTTCAGTACGAACTAGAGTCAAAGGCAGCCAAGTGGTATGCCACAATTGACATTGCTAATGTGTTTTTCTCACTCCCTTTGGCAGCGGAGTGCAGGCCACAGTTTGCTTTCCCTTGGAGGGATGTCCAGTACACCTGGAATCGACTGCCCCAGGGGTGGAAACACAGCCCCACTATTTGCCATGGACTGATCCAGACTGCACTAGAAAAAGGTGAAGCTCCAGAGCACCTGCAATACATGACATCATTGTATGAGGCAACACAGCAGAAGAAGTTTTTGAGAAAGGGAAGAAAATAGTCCAAATCCTCCTGAAAGCTGGATTGAAAGCTGAAAGTTTTGCCATAAAAGAAAGTAAGGTCAAGGGACCCTCACAGGAGATCCAGTTTTTAGGAATAAAATGGCAAGATGGACGTCGTCAGATCCCAATGGATGTGATCAACAAAATAGCAGCTATGTCCCCACTGACCAATAAAAAGGAAACACAGGCTTTCTTAGGTGTTGTGGGCTTTTGGAGAATCCATATTCCAAACTATAGTCTTAATTGTAAGCCCTCTCTATCAAGTGACCCAGATGAACAACAATTTTAAATGGGGCCCTGAACAATGACAAGCCTTTGAACAAATTAAACAGGAGATTGTTCATGCAGTAGCCCTTGGGCCAGTCTGGGCAGGACAAGATGTTAAAAATGTGCTCTACACTGCAGCTGGGGAGAATAGCCCTACCTGGAGCCTTTGGCAGAAAGCACCTGGGGAGACCCGAGGCCAACCCCTGGGGTTTTGGAGTCGGGGATACAGAGGATCCGAGGCTCGCTATACTCCAACTGAAAAAGAGATATTGGCAGCATATGAAGGAGTTTGAGCCGCCTCAGAAGTGGTTGGTACTGAAACACAGCTCCTCTTAGCACCCCGACTGCCAGTGCTGGGCTGGATGTTCAAAGGGAGAGGCGCCTCTACACATGATGCGA